GATGACGATACTTTACCGTGATTTTGTTGATGACTCTACTATCCATGCATATGCGCCAAGTTTCATCTTTCTTTGGCACCAATAAGTCTCGTATAGGACATGGACTCAAACTTTCTCGTACATAGCCATTCTCCATGAACTCCTCCACTTGCCTTTGAATTTCTTTTGTCTCGGTTGAATTGACTCGATAAACTGGCTTATAAGAAATGACAGTCTATGGAATGATGTCTATTTTATGTTCAGTACTTCTAACGGTAGGTATTTCTTTATCTTGAAACATGTCTTCAAATTCCTTGTAAAAGAGATTGAAAAACACTAGGCAAAGCCAAGTTGTTATAGTTAGAGACCAAAATTCCTCCAATGGTACATAAGTACAAAGATTGATTTTTGTGAAAACCTTCTCACCTCTCCAATAGCCAAATAACTCTCTCCCTTCCATTTTTCTTCAATTTCATCTCTGTTTTTATTCTTCTTTTTTTTTCTCTTTGATTTTTTTTTTCTATTTTTTCACACAACTCTTGTTTTTCTTTCAACTCTTTTTCCTCAAATTTCAACTTTAATTGATCAATAAATACATTTGCAGAATACAAAGGTACAAGAGTGGTTTTTCTACCATCTTTTACAAAAGAATACCTATTCAAATAGCCATCATACATAACCCTTCTGTCAAATTGTCATGGTCGGCCAAGCAATATGTCTCCAACATGCATTGGTAAAACATCACAAAGAACTTTATCTTTATATTTTCCCAAAGTAAAAGATATTAAAGCTTGAGAAGTTACCTTCATTGTTCCACTGTCATTGAGCCATTGGAGCTTGTAAGGTTTAGGATGATCTTAAGTTGGAATTTGCAACCTTTTGATCAACATGGTACTCAACATGGGTGCAACTTCCACTATCAATGACAAGACTACAAGCAGCTTCCTTAACTAAACACCACGTGTGGAACATGTTATCTCTTTGATTATCAACATCATTCTCCGTAACTTGAGTTTTAACAAGTCTTCTTATTATAAGTGCCAAATGAATCCCATCTTCTAGTTCCTCCTCATTCTTCTGGACTTCTTCAAATAGATCATTGATATCCCCTCCATTTTCATCGTCTTAGTTCATGATTGTACAAATAGTAATTATATATGCTTAGGACCTCAGACACTCAACTCGTTGATTTTACACTCAAGGACACTCGTGTTTATACACACAAAGGTAGGTTGTTTGGGAAAGTGACTAAATTATGATCAAGGTAGGCTAATATATGGGTAAAGCAATTCTGATGGTAGCAAGCTATTCAAGGCAATCAAGATAAGTTAATTATGAAGTAACAACAAAATAAAACAAGAAGTGAACAAACAAATAAGAGACAAAGATATTTTTTGATATAATTGCACACTGAAAAAAATTCCAAAGAGAATGGTCATGAAGATCGAACACAACAATTCCAGATTTATATGCTTTAGGAAAAAATGAGAATTGAAATTTATTTGATTATCAAATAAATGTGCAAATGGTCTAATGATAAGGATTTATTAAGAACAATATGATAAGGGGTTTTTTTTTTCAAGATCTAAATATGATCTTTAAGAGGACGCTAAAAAAAATAGAAATATAATGAACGATAGAAATGACAGTAAGAAAATAAATGACAGTTTTAAAGAAACGATAAACAATAGCGAAAATTAAAGATAAAATCAATTTTAGAATTGGCCACAAAGATGCAACCTACGCTCTGATACCAAATTGATAAGGAAACTCTAATCCTCAGCCGAACGATCCAAGCTTTTGTTTTAGCAAGAACTCTTGAATCAAAGTAATTAACACCATCTTATACGAAATTTGGGTCAACCAAGAGATAAGGCTAGAATTAGATTACCTCTTATGATTGAAGATCTAGAAGCAAGCTTTAGAACCTTGTTCTAAATTGAGACACTCCACAATCTAACTTGATCAAGGCTTGATTGAATGGCTCGGTGCAATTCTACCACAAGAATTGCTTTAAACTTAGAAATGACAAATATGATGCTCGGATATCTAAGGGAAACGTCTCAATTTGAGATTTGAATTACATTCATCCACGAATCTCCATTTTACATAACATATTGTGGATATTTTTAGTCTCCCAACAAAAGACGTTTGTGGATGGGATTTATTCCCGATCCCCTTTAATCTCCACTATTTTATAAAATTAAAAATAGTTCTTTCTAACAAATATTGATGTGCTTGAGTGGCTAATGCGACAGGTTTGAAATCAATTGAGCTCTCTGCACGTAGGTTTGAATTCTGTTGTTGACATATTTTTTAATCTTCTTGGCAGTAGGTTCATAATTAACTTATCTTGATTGCCTTGAATAGCTTGCAACTATCAGAATTGCTTTATCGATATATTAGCCTACCTTGATCATAATTTAGTAATTTTCCCAAATAGCCTACCTTTGTGTGTATAAACACGAGTGTCCCAATGTGTAAAATCAGTGAGTTGAGTGTGTGAGATCCTAAACATATTCCACAACTGTTTGTACAATCATGAACCAAGACGGAGGAAATGGAGGGGAGATCAATGAAGCTAGGTGGAGAGAAACACAGGTCGGAACAATTACTCGTTTGAATCAAGTTATTAGTTAATGAATTTGAATACTAACCTTTTGTAGTTCAAATTCTTTTTTCCTCACGAACCGGTTTCGAACCACCACTAGTGTCTTCTCCACTATCCTTTGGCCTTAGAACGGGATTGTGGAATCCGGTGAGTGACTAAACTTGGGAGGGATTTAGTATATATGAAAAGAGAGCTTGTGAGAATTTTCTCAAGGTCTTTTTCAAGGAAGAAGACCTTCAATGTATCATGATCACTCTATTTAAAGAGTCATGTTTGCATGTTCATGCAAATTTGAGATCACCAAATTTTGACACTCAAAATTCCACTCAAATGTTTGGGATTATGTGGCAAGCATGCATGTTTGAGTCAACCAAATTTTGACACTCAAAATTCCACTCAAACTTGTGGGGTTTATTTGGCAAGCATGCAAGTTTGGTTAAACCAAATTTTGACACCTCAAAATTCCACTAACATGGATTTTTCCATTAAATCAAGTCAACATTTTGACTTTCTTCATTTTAATTCAACAATTAATTTGAATAATTAATTTCAAATTAAAGTAACATTAAATGATTAATTAAACTATTTAATTTATATTTAATATTAATTCAAATGTCAATCCCAATCAATTCTAACACATAATTGATTAAGATATTTAAATCTTATTTAAATATCTCAAATTCTCTCTTTTTGTTTAATTCGTAAATAAAACAAAAATGCAGTTAAATATATCGTATATATGTAGCGCATATTCCCTAATTTGAATTCGAACACTTCGAACTCACTCGTCACACTATTATATGGTTTAGTCCGATATGAGCTAGCAGAGGAACCTAATGGACCTATAGATCATGGGCTCCAACGATCCAAGATTAACCGGTTAAACTCATTAACCTTGTTAACCAACATTCGTTAACTACTAGAACACTCCACTATAGCCTAGTAGTTGCACTCCCCTCACTATAGATATATTTTTGTCCATTTGATATAACCATGATTAGTAAGTCGATCCTTCACAGGTTGTTCGTAACTAGAGCTGGGTCAATTAACCGTTTTACCTCTAAAGTTACTTCTTGTTTCTTATGTCCCACTAATCCTCTTATGAACAATTGGTTTGTGGTCCAACCAGTAAACCAAATCCCTCTCAGACCAATGAGTAGGTGGGGCCCCTTGTTCATGACTTGGAGTCAATACTTCAGGGAACTACCTCTCTTCTATCCCTAAAAGTGGGTAGGAGCGAATTTCATCTTGCACCCCACGTCCCCATCTATTCACCCAGTCTTACACCTGAAATGGGAGGCCTATTGAGTCGGCGAACTCGAGCCACTCTCACCCATGCAAATCTAAGGATAATTCCGAATGAACAGGAGTTCATGGTTAGCTCAGGATTAAGGTCGAGTTACCTAGGTCATCGAATGAAAAGAAAATCAGTCTTAACAGTAAACGACATTATAAAGAGAGAGTGATTTTCTTCATGGTCCGATCTTATGCAATACTCTTTGCATAGGACGCCCCCACTCACATGTCTCCACATGTACAATTTAGTGATCACATTATTTATATCATATACAAAAGTAGGCCACATCCATAGTGTCCTCAGAATAAGGTACTCAACCTTATCCTTATACTATAGATCATTTTGACTATATACTTGAACTTGATCCACTTTTATGTCTCTACATATAGTTCAAGTAATCATACTATAGCTAGAGTGTTCTTAGTTTATTGGATTTAGATTAATGATCGTAAAGTTCACTTTATTCAATAACAATCTTTATTGAATAAACATCAATAATAACTTTATTGAAAAAATAGAATATGTCTTTGTTTACAAACTATGAGTTTTAGGACATAAAACCCAACAGACAGACCGGATGGAACGAATTGGAATAGCCTTAGATAATCTTCAAGGGAGGGAAGTACTCTTGAATGAAGGAGTTGAAAATGAAGAAGATGACAATGTCATCCTTTTAGTAGGACATAGTTCTAGGGAGGGAGAGATGTCGGTCGAGGGAGAGGAAGAGTGAGAAGAAGGGGTATTTTAGCACCAAAACAAATTGAGAGGGAGTACCAGTATGAGAGAGGAGAAGAAAGAGAAGTCCGAGGAGTAAAGCTAGAAATTCCAACTTTCTATGGGAGATCTGATCTAGAGGAGTATTTGCAATATGAGAGCAAAATTGAGCATGTTTTCGATTGCAACAATTTCAGTGAAGAAAGAAAGTTGAAGCTTGTTGTGGCTGAATTTTGTGATTACGCCATTATATGGTGGACATCTTTGAAAACCAAGTGGAGGAGAAATCATGTAGAACCAATTGAAACGTGGGAGGAATTGAATTCATTCATGAGAAAAAGGTACATTTCTAAGCATTATTCTCGAGTACTCAAACAAAAACTCTATACTTTGCAACAGGGATCCAAAAGTGTTGAAGAATATTACAAAGAAATGGAGGCCCTTCTGAATAGAGCATGTATTGATGAAGATGAGAAAGATACATGGCTAGATTCCTTGGTGGGTTAAACCGACAACTTGCTCATCAAGTAGATAGAAAAAGCATACTTTGATATGCAAGAATTGTTACACCTTGCTATCAAAATCGAAAGGCAACTAGCTTGGGAGAAGGATAACTCAAGGAGGTATGGTATTTCAAAGTCTACTACTTTCAACACTTGGAAAAAGAATGCAAATATTGAAAAGATAGATTTCAAAGTTGAAGGCTAGTATGATCTTGTCAAAAAGAACAAAGCTGAGACCTCCAAGGGTAAAGAGAAAGCGGAGGAATATAAGGAGATTCGAGAAAGAAATAGACTTCAAATGTTGAAAATGTCAAGGAATTGATCATCTTAATCGTGATTGTCCTAACAACAGAGTCATGATCATCAATGGAAAAGTTGTCACAGATAGTGAGGAAAGTAACCAGGATGAGCTAGTTAAAGAAGAAATCTAGGAGAATGAGGAGGAACTGGAAGATGGGTTGGTACTTGTTACTAGAAGACTTCTTAAAACTCAAGTTACAGAGAATGATGTTGATGACCAAAGAGACAACCTATTTCACACAAGGTGTTTAGTCAAGGGGACTCCTTGTAGTCTTATAATTGATAGTGGAAGTTGCACCAATGTCGTAAGTACCATGCTGATCAAAAGGTTGCTAATTCCAACCCAACACCATCATAAACCTTACAAGCTTCAATGGCTCAATGACAGTGGAACAATGAAGGTAACTTCTCAAGATTTTACTTTGGGAAAATATAAAGATGAAGTTCTTTGTGATGTTTTACCAATCTATGCTAGAGACATATTGCTTGGCCGACCATGGTAATTTGACAGGAGGGTTATGTATGATGACTATTTGAATAGGTATTCTTTTGTAAAAGATGGTAGAAAAATCACTCTTGTACCTTTGGGTTCTGCAAATGTATTTGTTGATCAATTAAAGTTGGAATAAAAAAGAAAGAGTTTGAGGAAAAAGAGTTGAAAGAAAAACAAGAGTTGGGTGAAAAAATAGAGAAAAATCAAAGAGAAAAAACATAGTGAAAAAAAGAATGAAATTGAAAAAAAGTAAAGAATGTGAGTTGTTTGGCAAGAGTTGGAGAGGTTAGAAGGGCGATGTTCTCACAAAAAACCATCTTTGTACTTGTGTACATTGAAGGATGCTTGGTCTCTAACTGTGAATGTTTGCTTCATCCACCACACCTAAATGGTGTGAAAGTTATCTTATTTATAATCAAATAAATTATAAGGATATGAAAATAGTAATAAATGAAAATAACAATAAATAAAAAGATACTTATGGTAATAAGACAAATATTAGATATTTTCCTTATAATAAAATATCAAATATAATATATATGGTAAACTATAATTTATTACTAAATATCCTTAACACCCCACTGCAAGCTAAGCGTCGGATTTAAACGAACTTGAAGCTTGAATCTGAAAAATTCAAAGAGGTTGAGAAACACTTTTTGTGAAGATGTCAACAACCTGGTTCAGAGGAGGCGTAGAGAAACACTTTCTTGGCCATCGAAAATTGCAAAGGGATCGCCGCTCAGCGGCAATGCTGCCTTGGCTTCAGCGAGAATATGTCTAACCCATGAAGAGGGATTGTCGCTTAGCGACGATGCTACCTTGGCTCTGGTGAGAATGTGTCTAACCCCAAGAAGTAGAAGGGGAAACCTAGAGCAAGGGACAAAGACAATGTTGAAACCGAAAGAGTCGCCACATTGGGTGAAGGAGCCAATTTTGGCGAGAAGGGCGGCGACAACTTGGTTGGCAAAGAAGCCCGTGCGGCGCGCAGATTCCAAAGATAAATCTCCGCAAAAGATTGATAGGTTTAAGTTAGGATTTATGTGAAGGATGAAGGGAAGATTGGGAAGAAAATAAAAGAGGCTATATTAGTTAAAGTGAGATTGTATGTACAAAGTATGTTGAAGGGTGATTTGGATGTCAAAAGAGCGGAGCCGAAGAGTAATCAATCGGCTACGCCTTCGGCAGCCATGGAGACTGCGCCTGCAGCATCAAAGCCAGCAGGGATGGTGGAGAACGAAGATGAGTAGGGGATTCATAAGCCATTGAAAATAAAGAATCGAGGTTGCTAAACCGAAAGGGCTCTGATACCATGTGAATGTTTGCTTAATCTACCACACTTAAATGGTGTGAAAGTTATCTTATTTATAATCAAATAAATTACAAGGATATGAAAATAGTAATAAATGGAAAGATACTTATGATAATAAGACAAATATTAGATATTTTCCTTAAAATAAAATATAAAATATAATATATATGGTAAACTATAATTTATTACTAAATATCCTCAACACTAATGATAACAATTTGTCTTTGCCTAGTATGTTTCAATCTCTTTTACAGGAATTTGATGACGTATTCCAAGATGAAATCCCTAAAGGACTACCTCCCATTAGAGGTATTGAACATAAAATAGACTTCATTCTAGGGGCAGTCATTCTTAATAGTCTAGCTTATAGAGCCAACCCAACTGAGACTAAAGAAATTCAAAGGCAAATAGAGGAGCTCATGGAGAAGGGCCTATATACGAGAGAGTTTTAGTCCATGTTTTGTACTTGTCTTATTGGTGCTAAAGAAAGATGGAACGTGGTGCATGTGCGTGGATTGTAGAGTCATCAACAAAATCACGATAAAGTATCGACATCCTATTCCTAGGCTAGACGATATGCTTGATGAATTGCATGGTTTCTGTTTATTTACAAAGATTAACTTGAAATCTGGATTTGATCAAATTAGAATGTATGTAGGAGACGAATGGAAAACCTCATTCAAAACTAAGCATGGATTGTATGAATATCTTCTTATGCCTTTTGGGTTAACTAATGCTCCTAGTACATTTACGCGCTTAATGAATCACGTTTTGAGAGAATATTTAGGAAAGCATGTTGTTGTGTATTTTGATGATATTTTAATTTATTCAAAGACTTTACATGAGCATGTAGAGCATGTTAAGTTAGTTTTGATTACACTTAGAAAAGAGAAACTTTATGCTAATTTTAATAAGTGTAGTTTTTGCATCGAAAAAGTTATCTTTCTTGGTTTCATAGTTGGTAAAAATTGGGTAGAAGATAAAGAGAAAGTTAAAGCAATCAGGGATTGGCAACACCACAAAATTCAAGTGAAGTTCGTATTTTTTCATGGGTTAGCTAGCTTATATGGGAGATTTATAAAAGATTTTAGCACCATAACTGCACCATTGAATGACTTGGTGAAAAAGAATGATGTTTTTAAATGGGAAGATATGCAAGAGAAAGCATTCAATGAGCTTAAGAATAAATTAAGCAATGCACCATCACTTGTCTTGCCTAACTTTGATAAAACTTTTGAAATTGAGTGTAATGCAAGTGGTTTGGGCATAGGTGCTGTTTTGATACAAGATGGAAAACCCGTAATGTATTTTTGTGAAAAACTAAATGGGGTAGCATTGAACTATCCTACCTGTGATAAAGAATTGTTGGTTTTAGTTCGCACCTTGCAGGTGTGGCAACACTACTTATGACTTAGAGAATTTGTGATCCACTCTAATCATGAAAGCTTGAAGTGTCTTAAGAGTCAAAGCAAACTCAACCGTAGGCATGCAGTGAGTGCAGTTTATTGAAACATTTCCTTATGTCATCTAATATAAGCAAGGTAAGGATAATGTGGTAGCTGATGCATTATCTAGAAGGTACAATCTTTTTACTTCTCTTAGTGCAAAAATTCTTGGATTTGAGCATATTAAAGAATTATATGAAGTTGACAAAGACTTTGGAATTATTTATGCATCTTATCTTACAAAAATAGCTGCTGATGATTATTATGTATTTCATGAATTCTTATTTAAGCAAAGTAAGCTTTGTATTTCTAAATGCTCTATTAGAGATTTGCTTGTAAAAGAAGCACATGGTGGTAGCTTAATGAGATATTTTGGGATTAATAAAACTTATAATATGTTGCATGAACACTTCATTTGGCAAAAAATGAAGCATGATTTTCATAAGTTTTGTAGTCAATGCTTTAAATGCAAAGAAGCTAAATCTAGATCACAACCAAATGGATTGTACACTCCTTTGAATGTACCTAACGAACCTAGGACTATATCTATGGATTTTGTTCTTGGTTTACCGCACACTAAAAAGGGTAGATAGTCACTTTTGAAAAGTATTGTATGGGTAAATTGGGTACCAAATTGTTGTTTTCAACTACATGTCATCCTCAGATAGATGGACAAACTAAGGTGGTTAATAGAATATTAGAAGCATTGTTTAGGGCTATTATTTCTAAGAATATTAAGTCTCGGGATAAATGTTTGTCATGTGTAGAGTTTGCATATAATAGAGCAATTCATAATACCACTCATTGTTCTCCTTTTGAAGTTTTTTATGCATTTAACACTTACGCCTATTGATTTTCTCCATATTTCTTCTAATATTTTTGTGAGTGACGGAGCCACAAATAAGTCAGACTTGATCAAAACATTGCACAAGGAGGTGAAGAAGAGAATTGACTTTAATTCACTTACGCCTCTTGATTTAATTCCTATTCCTTCTAATATTTTTGTGAGTGACGCATCCACAAGTAAGGGAGACTTGATCAAAACATTGCACAAGGAGGTGAAGAAGAGAATTGAGAACCAAAATTTCAAAGTTTCTTCAAGGATTAACAAAGAACGGAAGGAAATCATTTTTAAACCTGGTGACTGGGTTTGGATACATTTTCATAAGGAGCGATTCTCATCTCAACGGAAGACAAAGTTACTTCCAAGAGGGGATGACCCTTATCAAGTCCTTAAACGAATTAATAACAATGCATATAAAATTAATAACATTCTACTTTCAATGCTGCTGACTTGAGTCCTTTTGATGTAGGTAATGATTTTTCTGATTCGAGGATGAATCCTTTTGAAGAGGGGGAAGATGATAAGAATCACAGTGTTCCAAATGGACCTATTACACGATCCAAGGATTGAATATTTGCACGGAAGATACTTGAGTCCTTTTGATGTATGTGATGATTTTTCTGATTCGAGAAAGAATCTTTTTGAAGAGGGGGAAGATGATAAAAATCACAGTGTTCTTCGAGGACAATAAGAATCACAGTGCGTCCTTTTGAAGAGGGGGAAGAGGGGGAAGATGATAAGATTCATAGTGTTCTTCGAGGACGATAAGAATCATAGTGCGTTCTTTTGAAGAGAGGAAAGATGATAAGTTTGTGGTCGATCCTTTTGAAGAGGGAGAAGATGATAAGAATCACATTGTTCTTCGAGAACGATAAGAATCACAATGCATCCTTTTGAAGAGGGGGAAGATGATAAGTTCGAGGACGATAAGAATCACAATGCGTCCTTTTGAAGAGGGGGAAGATGATAAGTTCGAGGTCGATCCTTTTAAAGAGGGGGAAGATGATAAGAATCACAGTGTTCTTCAAGGACGATAAGAATCACAGTGCATCCTTTTGAAGAGGGGGAAGATGATAAGTTCGAGGACGATAAGAATCACAGTGCGTTCTTTTGAAGAGGGGGAAGATGATAAGAATCACAGTGCATCCTTTTGAAGAGGGGGAAGATGATAAGTTCGAGGACGATAAGAATCACAGTGCGTTCTATTGAAGAGGGGGAAGATGATTTTAAAGATGGGGAAGATAGTCCTTTTGAAGAGGGGGAAGATGATAAGTTCGAGGTTTTGAAGAGGGGGAAGATGGTCCTTTTGAAGGGGGGAAAACCTTTTGAAGAGAGAGAAGATGATAAAACCTTTTGAAGAAGGGGAAAATGGTTCTTTTGAAGAGGAGGAAGATGGTCCTTTTGAAGAGGGGAAAGATGATATGTTTGAGGTTTTGAAGAGGGGGAAGATGGTCCTTTTGATAAGTTGAGGACAATAAAGAATCACAGTGCGTCTTTTTGAAGAGGGGGAAGATGATAAGTTGAGGACGATAAGAATCACAGTGCATTCTTTTAAAGAGGGGGGGAAGACCTTTTGAAGAGGGGGAAGATGATAAGTTGAGGACGATAAGAATCACAGTGTGTTCTTTTGAAGAGGGGGAAGATAAAAATCACAATGCGTCCTTTTGAAGAGGGGGAAGATGATAAGAATCGCATTATGAAGAGGGGGAAGCTTTTGAAGAGAGGAAAGATGATAAGTTGAGGATGATAAGAATCACAGTGCGTTCTTTTGAAGAGGAGGAAGATGATAAGAATCGCCTTTTGAAGAGGGGGAATCACAGTGCGTCCTTTTGAAGAGGGGGAAGATAAGAATCACAGTGCGTTCTTTTGAAGATGGGGAAGATGATAAGAATCACAGTGCATCATTTTGAAGAGGGGAAGACTTTTTGAAGATGGGGAAGATGATAAGTTGAGGACGATAAGAATCACAATGTGTCCTTTTGAAGAATCACATCACAGTGCGTCCTTTTGAAGAGGGGGAAAACCTTTTGAAGAGGGGGCGTTCTTTTGAAGAGGGGGAAGATAATAAGTTGAAGAATCACAGTGCGTTCTTTTGAAGAGGGGGAAGATGATAAGAATCGCCTTTTGAAGAGGGGGAAGATGATGCCTTTTTCTTTTGAAGAGGGGAAAGATTATAAAAATCGCAGATAATAAGAATCATCTTTTGAAGAGCAAAAGATGTTGCCTTTTGAAGAGGATAAGAAGAGGTTGAGGACGATAAGAATCATCACAGTGTTCATGCTTTTTGAAGAGAGGGAAAATGATAAGAAGAGGTTGAGGACGATAAGAATCATCACAGTGTTCACAAAGATGATAAGAATCGCCTTTTGAAGAACAAAGATGATAAAAATGCCTTTTGAAGAGGGGGAAGATGATTCCTTTTGAAGAGGGGGGAAGATGATGCATTTGAAGAGGGGGAAGATGTCTTTTGAAGAGGGGGAAGATGATCACTTTTTAAGAGGGGGAAGATGCCTTTTGAAGAGGAAGATGATGCCTTTTGAAGAGGGGGAAGATGATGTCTCTTGAAGAGGGGGAAGATGATGTCTCCTGAAGAGGGGGAAGATGATGTACTTTAAAGAGAGGGAAGATGATGCCTTTTGAAGAGGGCGAAGATGATGTCTTTTGAAGAGGGGGAAGATGATGTCTTTTGAAGAGGGGAAAGATGCTGCATGATGCCTTTTGAAGATGATGTCTTTTTAGAGGGGGAAGATGATGCATGATGCCTTTTGAAGAGGGGAAGATGATGTCTTTTGAAGAGGAGAAGATGATAAGAAGAGGAAGAGGGGGAAGATGATGCCTTTGAAGAGGGAGAAGATAATAAGAAGAGGTTGAGGACGATAAGAATCATCACACCCTTTTGAAGAGGGGTAAGATGATAAGAAGAGGTTGAGAACGATAAGAATCATCACAGCCTTTTGAAGAGGGGGAAGATGATAAGAGGTTGAGGATGATAAGAAGAGGTTGAGGACGATAAGAATCATCACAACCTTTTGAAGAGGGGAAACAGCCTTTTGAAGAGAATGAAGATGTAAGAAGAGGTTGAGGACAATAAGAATCATTGAAACCTTTTGAAAAGGGGGAACAGCCTTTTGAAGAGGGTGAAGATGATAAGAAGAGGGGAAGATGATAAGAATCATCACAGTGTTCACAGTGTTATAAGAAGAGGTTGAAAACGATAAGAATCATCACAGTGTTCACATTGTTATAAAAATAGATTGAGGACGATAAGAATCATCACAGTGTTATAAGAAGAGGACGATAAGAATCATCACAGTGTTCACAGTGTTATAAGAAGAGGTTGAGGATGATAAGAATCATCACAATGTTCACAGTGTTATAAGAAGAGGTTGAGGATGATAAGAATCATTATAGTGTTATAAGAAGAGGTTGAGGACGATAAGAATCATCACAGTGTTCACAGTGTTATAAGAAGAGGACGATAAGAATCATCACAGTGTTATAAGAAGAGATTGAGGATGATAAGAATCATCACAGTGTTCACAATATTATAAGAAGAGGTTGAGGACGATAAGAATCATCACAGTGTTCACAATGTTATTAAAAGAGGTTGAGGACGATAAGAATCATCACGGTGTTCACAATGTTATTAAAAGAGGTTGAGGACGATAAGAATCATCACAGTGTTCACAGTGTTATAAGAAGAGGTTGAGGATGATAAGAATCATCACAGTGTTATAAGAAGAAGACGATAAGAATCATCACAGTGTTATAAGAGGAGGTTGAGGACGATAAGAATCATCACAGTGTTATAAGAAGAGGTTGAGGACGATAAGAATCATCACAGTGCTCACAAGAATAATCACAATGTTCACAATGTTATAAGAAGAGGTTGAAGACGATAAGAATTATCACAGTGTTCACAGTGTTATTAAAAGAGGTTGAGGACGATAAAAATCATCACAATGTTTACAGTGTTATAAGAAGAGATAGAGGATGATAAGAATTATCACAGTGTTATAAGAAGAGGACAATAAGAATCATCACAGTGTTATAAGAAGAGGTTGAGGACGATAAGAATCATTACAGTGTTCACAGTGTTATAAGAAGAGATTGAGGACGATAAGTATCATCACAGTGTTCACACCGTTATAAGAAGAGGTTGAGGACGTTAAGAATCATCACAGTGTTCACAGTGTTATAAGAAGAGGTTGAGGACGATAAGAATCATCACAGTGTTCACACCGTTATAAGAAAAGGTTGAGGACGATAAGAATAATCACAGTGTTCACAGTGTTATAAGAAGAGGTTGAGGACGATAAGAATCATCACAGTGTTAGAAGAAGAGGTTGAGGAGGAGGAGGACGACAAGAATCATCACGGTGTTATAAGAAGAGGTTGAGGAGGAGGAGGACGATAAGTATCATCACGGTGTTATAAGAAGAGGTTGAGGAGGAGGACGACGATAAGAATCATCACAGTGTTATAAGAAGAGGAGGAGGACGATAAGAATCATCACAGTATTATAAGAAGAGGTTGAGGAGGAGGAGGAGGACGATAAGAATCATCACAGTGTTATAAGAAGAGGTTGAGGACGATAAGAATCATCACAGTTTTATAAGAACCCTATAGATTTCAAGTTTGTACCCTTAACCACTCAAACATATTAACGTTTGTTGAAAAATTTTATTGTTTTTTTCATTTTCATTTTGCAATGGTCAAATGGTCAAAATTGACTTTGTCTTTTGTGGAGACTAAAGGGGATCGGAATTGAATCTCGGCCCCAAACGTCTTTTTTCGGGAGACTATAAATACCCACAATATGTAAAAATTAGATTAGTGGATGAATGTAATTCAAATCTCAAATTGAGACATTTCTCTTAGAAATCCAAGCATCATATTTGTCATTTCTAAGTTTCAAGCAATTCTTGTGATAGAATTGCACCCAAGTCATTCAATCAAACCTTGATCAGGTTCGATTGTGGAGTGACTCAATTTAGAACAAGGTTTCCAAATCTTGCTTCTAGATCTTCAATCACAAGAGAGGTAATCTAATTTTAGCCTTATCTCTTCGTTCATCAAAATTTCGTATAAAGAGATATTAATTACTTTGATTCAAGGGTTCTTGCTTTAACAAAAGCTTGGATCATTAGGATGAGGATTAAGGTTGCCTTATCATTTTTTATACCAACCCTTACATTTTTTTTACACTTTTGAGACTGAATTTGACCTTAATTTATGCACTTGAGGTCAATATAACGTCCTATTTCCCAAGTTCAAGTTGAATTATGTTAGAAATATGAATTATTAATGAAACGAGATGGACTTTCTAATAGAAAATAACTTCGGACGATACTTGGAGCAACTTCGAGGGACGAATTCAAACGTACTTGAGATTAGGGAAGACGTTGTTTAAGGTGAAACAAGTAGGTGATCTTACTATCGGTTCGGTTGCAAGTCATTTATGCTTTATATTATATGATGAAGTAACTATGTTATATGATGATGAGACTATGCTACATAATGTTGTTATTATGATGTTATACGATGAGGTTGATGGTGTTAATATAACACATGCGAAAACAATTTGGATATTAGGCACTTTTAGAACATCAATTATAATAAATAACTAGCATGTTCATAAGTATTAAAACTTAATGAGTTTGAATACTAACCTTTTGTAGTTCAATTTTTTTTTCCTCACGAACCGGTTTCGAACCACCACTAGTGTCTTCTCCACTATCCTCCGGCCTTAGAATGAGATTGTGGAATATGGTGAGTGACTAAACTTGGGAGGGATTTTGTATATATGAAAAGAGTGTTTGTGAGAGGTTTTTCTCAAGGTTTTTCACCAACATGAAAAAACTTTCATGTATTATGATCACTCTATTTATAGTCATGTTTGCATATTCATGCAAATTTGAGATCACCAAATTTTGACACTCAAAAGTTTGGGATTATGTGGCAAGCATGCATGCTTGTGTTAACCAAATTTTGACATTCAAAATTCCACTCAAATTTATGGGGTTTATTTATTTTGACACCTCAAAATTCCATTAACATGGATTTTTCCATTAAATGAAGTTAACAGTTTGGCTTTCTTCATTTTGATTCAACAATAAATTTGAATTATTAATTTCAAATTAAAATAATATTAAATGATTAATTAAACTATTTAATTAATATTTAATATTAATTCAAATACAATCTCAATTAATTCCAACACATATTTGATTAAGATATTAAATCTTATTTAAATATCTCAGATTCTCCCTTTTTGTTTAATTCGTAAATAAAACAAAAATGCGGTTAAATATATCGTATATATGTAGCGCATTCTCCCTTATTTGATTTCGCACACTTCGAACTCACTCGTCACACTGTTCTATGGTTTAATCCGATATAAGCTAGCAGAGGGACCTAATGGACCTATAGATCATGGCTCCAACGATCCAAGATTAACCGGTTAAACTCATTAACCTTGTTAACCAACATTCGTTAACTACTAGGACATTCCACTATAGCCTACTAGTTGCACTTCCCTCACTATAAATATATTTTTGTCCATTTGATATAACCATGATTAGTAAGTCGATCCTTCACTGGTTGTTCGTAACTAGAGACTGGGTTATTTTACCGTTTTACCCCTGAAGTTATTTCTTGTTTCTTATGTCTCACTGATTCTCTAATGAACAATTGGTTTGTGGTCCACCAATAAACTAGATCCCTCTCAGGCCAATGAGAGGGTGGGGCCCCTTGTTCAAGACTTGGAGTCAGTACTTAAGGGAACTACCTCTCTTCTATCCCTAAAAGTGGGTAGGAGTAAATTTCATCTTGCACCCCATGTCCCCAGCCATTTACCCAGTCTTATCCCTAAAATGGGAGGCCTATTGAGTCGGCGAATTTGAGCCACTCTCACCCATGCAAATCTAAGGATAATTATGAATAAACAGGAGTTCATGGTTAGTTCAGGATTAAAATCGAGTTACCTAGGTCATCGAATGAAAAGAAAATCAGTCTCAACAGTAAACGACATTATAAAGTGAGAGTGATTTTCTTCATGGTCCGATCTTATGCAATCTCATTGCATAGGACGCCCCCACTCACATGTCTCCACATGTACAATTTTAGTGATCACATTGTTTATATCATATACAAAAGTGGGTCGCATCCATAGTGTCTCCAAAATAAGGTACTCAGCCTTATCCTTACACTATAGATCATTTTGACTATATACTTGAACTTGATCAACTCTTATGTCTCTACATATAGTTCAAGTAATCATACTATAGCCAGAGTGTTCTTAGTTTATTGAATTTAGATTAATAATCGTAAAGTTCACTTTATTCAATAACAATCTTTACTGAATAAACAACAATAATAACTTTATTGAAAATAAAATATGTTTTTTTTTTACAAACTTTGAGTTTTAGGACATAAAATCCAACCGATGTTATATGATAACATTATATAATGATGACATGATGATGATGATGTATGATAACATAACGATGTAAGATGCATGATAATGAGATGACTTAATATCACGTTATTCCATATTAAGATGATGTGCATGTATTAAATATCACGATGCATTATGACAATGATTTTTCTAAGACACAATCCTAATTAATGTTAATGATGATGAACGTATGGAGGCTAATGAATGCATATTACCAAGGGTAATATTTGAATAGTGTATAGTATTGTGTCATAAAGATGATTTAAAGAGAACTATATGAACCTAATATATTTTGTGTGTTCATATACATCAGGTTATTTTTCCATTTATGATGATAAGTATGGACAAGTACACTATGATGATGATGGTGATCATATCTTGCATTACACTCAATGGTCTGCTGATCTTCGAACGTCCGATTACGAACAATTAGCTCGACTATGATGAGTCCAAGGAGGAGCAAACCACCTGAAGATTCACGCTCGCCCGTGTGGGTTAAATATTTTTAAAATACTCAAGTCGTGTGCTACTTCTATTTCAGGTAAAGACAAGGCACCCCTGTACGACTCACAATGGCATCGTAAGTAAAGACCATGGTACATATGTAGGATAGTGGTATTTCATTTATTTAGTTTCCTTGTGTTGTTGTAAATATGTTTTTGATCATGTAAGTTCATGACAATGTTTTATTATGAGATTTTAAATGTTTATTTTTCGCATAAAAGAGTATAGGTTATGATGACGGTAGAGACTTTAGGTCATTACATTAATTTTACTTTCCGTGTATAAATTTCATAATGATTATATATATATATATGGATATATTTATAAATGGTATGTAAAAAGGTATGTGTTTGATTACACTTTCCCTCCACAATTTTTTTTATAGATTATATAAATATGGTTCATCGTTTAAGAAAATGAAACATAAATAGGTAACGACTCTAATTTCCTTAAAATAAAACCACTATCATATGCATTACATGATCTTTTATGCGAAAACATTCATTTAAAATAATTTATAAACGATGACATAGACTTGTATTTTTGTCTTAAAAAGCCTTAAAATTAAAAACAATGCCCTAAACTGATCTAAGTTCTAAAAACAAAAGTGCAACTACCTTAATACAGGTTCTATGGTCTTCAACCCGACACCACTATCAACCCTAAAAGGGTGTCTTGCCTTTACCTGAAACAAAAGAGTACACAAGGCTTGAATGTAGTATGTTTGCCTTAAGAGCCTTATAATAAAACAACGAAAAATATTCAATGTAAAATAAAATAAAACCGAAGAAAAAGATTAAAAACAATGCCCTAAATTGATATAAGATCTAAAAAATATAAAATGCAACTATCTTAACATAGGTTCTATGGTCTTTAACGTGACACCACTATCAACCGTAAAAGGGTGTCTTGTCTTACCTGAAATAGAAGAGTACACAAGGCTTAAATATAGTATATCATAACATAACGTGACCTCATATAATCATATCATAGCGTATCATAGCATTTCATAGCATATCATTATTCAACGTAACATAATATGACATTTCATTTATACTATAATGTTACAACCAAACCGATAATAGAACCACTTACTTGGTTGGCCTAGGCCGAAGTTACTAATTATTCTTTGTACCAGCCTAAATTTGCTCTCAAATTCCAATTCAACCTCAGATCCATCATCTCAATGATATCAGTTAAAACAAAATGATCGCAAAGATCAACCACCCTATAGTTCAATTGTGAGGGTAAAGAAATATCTCGACATATATACTCTTTTTAGAATTTGTTTAGACTATTATAAACTAGTTTAAGAACCTCTCGAAGATCTAGGGCAAATGGGTTGGATTTGGGTCGGGTCAAAACTCCAACTCAAGACAACAACAACCATGTTGATCTACGTGGATGACCCAGTAGCGGGCTGCCCACTATCCATGACGCTAGTGTTCAACCCACAAGCATTGCAGATGACCCACCTTGCATGCAATCCACGAAGCCCAGCCTGTGAGCCCTCAGCCCAACGACGCCTATGTGAGGCCCCAAGCCTATCAACGGAGAGCGAGCGCTGCTTCGGAGTGTTGGATGATGAAAGTCCCACATCGGTTAATTTAGGGAATGGTCATGGGTTTATAATCTAAGAATACACTCTTCATTGGTGTGAGGCCTTTTGGGAAGCCCAAAACAAAGCCATGAGAGCTTGTGCTCAAAGTGGACAATATCATACCATTGTGGAGAGTCGTGTT